CAATCCTAAACTCAAAGTGCTAAATTCCATCAGGGCTTGTTAAGGATCTTCCTTACTTGGGAGGTCAAGCCTAAACCCTAAACCTCACCAAGCAGTTTACGGCCAACTCAGACGTTTAAACGTTTAGCCACGCGCAGTGGTGACCATGCCTCATCAAAATCGTCCAGGCTGCAGCTAGATACCAGAGACTCAGGTCGAGGACATTACAGCACTTGGGATTCTGGTTGTACATGCACAGACCGAATTTCTGAAACATGCAGGTATGGAGCAAATATGTGAGGACACGTCCGCTTGTAGACATGCCTTAAAAGTAGCCACAGTGTCCGGCATGACTTCACTTCCTCTTCGATATGGATCCGTTGGGGCCTCTTTGTTTCCAGTGACAGAGAGTTTACTTAGCGTATCTCGACACCAATTGTAAGGCTTCACCCCTAAACCTAAACCTTTAAAACAACCTAGACACTAAACCCTGAGCCCTAAGCCCAATTCTTGTAGCCCTTGATGTGGGTGAAGTCAGTGGAGGCGTTCGCCACGTCACCTGATGGGATCTCCGCGGTTCGCAGCGAGACTTTTGGCCAAGTCGTGGGCTTCGGGGCTTAGCGGGTGGGATCGCCATAGACACGCCCACATCTTACTTTGAAGGCTCTTAGATTTATGCAGGCATCAAGCATCCTTCAGAGAGCCAGTCTTTACAGCTTCCTTGGAATTCTTTCGTGACTTCGTGCAAGTTTTTGGCAGCGGGGCATTTGAGTTCAATTATGGATGTTCAGTCATGCTTTTTCTGAGGGTGCCCCTTCGCGTCTTCAAGCCCTTCTTCGTAGAGATGCGCTTGCCCTATGCGTCTGTTCGAGGCAGCTGCATAGTGAGATCAGCAGGGGTGCTTGTAGATTTCTCAAGTTGTCGTTGGCAGCGTGATGAGTGCTGGTTTTCCTTTTGACATAGAACTTTGAAGATCAGAAGATTTTACAGCGCATCAAGGCAGGTCATGTTGCAAGATAGCATTATTTGCAGACGGGTTGTCCTGAACTTCTTTGTTGCGAGTAGGGCCGCTAGTCAGCAGGGAGAGTTGATGTTTCATACAGGCTTACGTAGTCACTTTTGTGGTTGCCATTACGAGTGCGAAGTTTCTTTGTTTTCTCAACAAACCATCAAAGCAAGATTTCCCCACAGGCGAAGATGTGGAGTTGATTTTAGCAGTCTTCAACTACGCAGAGGACAGTGGCACTCTACAGGCTCAGCTGCAGGCGATGGATGGGCCTTTGCGGTTGAAGGTTCCGGGCCCGCCGGCCTTGGTGTTTGGTGGGAGATTCGGGAATGGATGAAAGACGTTTTTAGGGGCAGGGGGTTCACGAACGAATCAGTCAGTCAGAATGAGTCCGAGAGCGTCCCAGTGAGTGAGCCTACATGAAAACACGAGGCCAGCGAGAGCATGTGGGCTCTCATGCCCCAGAATTCAGGTGAACAACAGCCTGACAACAGACTCTGAAGTACAGAGCCCACGTCTTTCGGATGTACTCCAGGGTTTGGTACAGCCCCCACAACACAATCCGCGCTCCGCCTGGTCCAGGTAGTGTAAATCAGTTTTTCCCGGCATGGTAGATTGGAAGCTGTCAGGTGACACTCCCCGCTGAAGTTGAGCTCGTCAGTGGAGAGGCAACAGCTAAGGACTTGGACTTGCTAAAAACTAAAGGCAGAAGTTTGCAATTATACACATGTAGGCGCCAGTCAGGGTATTTTTAGAGTACAAAATAGGATCCCAATGTTGGAAATTACTCTCTTTTGAGTTGGCTGGCAACAATAATCGAGAACAGGCGGGGTGGATTACCTGGATTAGCTCTCCGAGCCTGTCCCAAACCTTTGGTTAGCCATTTCCCTTGGCATTCTTTGCTGTAGGGAGCCCTTACATACCCTCTGGGGTAAGATCATGTAAGATCTGTACATGGGTGCCTCCTCCAAATAATTTTGAGAAGCCCCTCAGAATATGCCTGCACTTGGGATCCATGCTGTGACCTTTGCGATTTCCTTTCCCAATGAGTCCAGGCATCTGTGCAGCTGTCCGTGCCAGAAGGTTCCGCAACACGCCCCTTGATTGCGCAATCTGTTCTTGTACCAACATGAGGTCTCTATTTGGGTGTTCCTGTGCTGTGGAATCGCCTCTTTTTGGGATATTACGTTTCTGTCTGACCACAGCATGGATTACAAGGCCTTTATGCGACTTACAGCTTTTGCCCCCTTGTTGTGGGAAAGTGGGTTGTTCTTGTTGTTTGCGCACAGGATCACGGTTGCTGTAGCTACCAGCATTTCCACGGAATGTCACGTTAGAATCCCTTTTACAGCATCTCCCAATGTGTAAGCGCCCAAATTAGATGCAGCGGTTGATCTTGAGGCCACTCCCTACGCTTGCGACCGAAGGCTGGGCAGCTTTTGGCAAGCTCCGTCTTCTGTGTCCTGAAGGGTGGAAGAGATGGTGTTGATACAAGAGCTTGCAGTACCTGTAGTTAACAGGTCTGTAACAAACCAAGGTGGCTGGAGGTCGTATTGTGCTGCCCATCGTGTCATGGTCCGACTACCCACACGGGAAAGAACACGATTGTATTGCATGCACTGTTTCTGTGAAGGCTTCTTCCTGCACATCCAGATATGTAGAGAGTCTTCATGGAGCCAGCGCAAAAATGTCTTGACTTCATCCACGCATGATGTCCTTTGAGATGAGGGGGGCTCAAACCCCAGCCCTAAACATTCAATTCAAAATGGACCAGTGGATCAGGCTCTTGGCACTTTCCAACTCCAGGCGCAATTGCTTTGGGTCAGGGGCGCCGAGCTGGTTTTGAAGTAAATCCATTCGGTGGAGGTAGTCCGTCACCATTTCTCGTCCCAGAAAGATTATAATCGTTATAATCCCTGCGTCCTATATAGGGCTTCTGGCGTCGACAGCACGGTCTGGTTTGAGCAGTAAGCGTTTCGATTTCAGGGCTTTGGTTTCGAGTATGACGTGATGATGCAGTCTGACAGTCTCATCAGCAGGCCCTTGCTGGAAGGGTTTTTGAAACAGCGTTTGGTTTTTCGGATGCTCTCTTCGTGCTCTTTGTTTGCACGATTGCCCAGCAGCTTTAGAATGCCTGCTTCTCCAAGTCCTACACATGCGCTGTGAAATTTCCGGCATGTGGACCTCTTGTGCACCACTTCAGACTGTGGTCTTCTTGGCTTATCACTTTTCACAGCGTTTATGGTTCATATCTGGTGTCCACAGCAGCTTGGGGCCATGGTGTAAGGTAAGACGCGGTGTTGTATTTGGTACAAGTGGTGGTTGTTGCTGGTGTTGCTGGTGCGGGTGCCCAGGCAGTCGGTAGAATAAACAGCAGTAAGCAGCTTCTTTTGACAAGTTCCCTCATGACCAATCCTTGTGCAAACGAAGCCTAGTGCAAGATGCCCCCAGGACCCTATCCTAATCAAATCGGGAACTACAGTAACACAGATCCTGCTACGAGGCCTCTGCCACCAGTGGCGCTTACAGTGATGCTATGAGGAAGCCGCTTCTGGTCAAGCCGGAGGTGACCTTGACTTATAGGTAACAGGAGGTTTAAATTGGGGTTATATGGTGATAATGGGAAATAAAATGGAGACTATTATTTAGGGTTATACCCAAAGGCATGGGATTGGGACTTGAGGTCAGGGATTTCATGGGATCCAAGATTCTGAGAACACTTTTTCATAGGTCTGGCGTGTTCAAGTCCTGGGATTAAGGTATGGGCTGGGATCAGCAGAGGGCTTCTACGATGTGAGGATTGGGGTGGTTGAGTCATTGAACTTCTCCGTGGCCACACTATCGGGGATCTATTGGACCTTCGGCTTAATTTTGGCCGTGTTGTCCCGTCAAAGACGTACTAGGCCGTGGAAATCCGTAGAGTTCTCCGGACTTGATCGCATGGAACCCCCTGTGCCTGGTAAATTCTGCCCCTTGGCATAGCCTGCATGTAATGGTACTAGATCGGGAATGTTTATGAGGGTTGGGGTGTTATGATTTCAGAAGGGGGTTGTCATGCAGCAATAGTGCTTGCTGTGAGTAGTACGGCCTCCGAACAGACCAGCGCAACACCGCAAAAAGTGAGTCCCCAAAACGATGCCCCTGTTTGAGTTGCTAGTCGTACAACGGCCTGACAGGTTATGACACAGTTTGTTGCCAAGTGAGTCTCAACCGCATCAACTTTCTATCGCAAGGGTGTGCCTCAGCGCGAGACCAAGAGCGTCGTCATCGACCTCACAGGCATGTGAGCTTGCCAAGCCGAGCGTCTTTCAGTTTGACGTATGCGGCATATCATACCTGGTTTTCGTTGTCAGACGCAAAGCACCAGGAAGTCTTGAGAAGTTTCCCAAATCTCTAGCCTTAGCCCTAAACAGCGACTAGACGACAACGTAGGACGCAGGATTGCGCAAGCAGATTGCAGGTCCGGCCTCACGATTTTCCATGTGCTGGCAATGCGGTAGTCACAGCGGCTTGTTTCAGCAGGTTCTGACACCGCAGAAGCCAAGCTCGCGCTCTTACTGCCTGCGGAAGCTGTCCCAGACTCTGCGCGCTTGCAAGCACCTTGGAATGGACCTTATGTTCTCCCTGAGTATTGCACCTCTTATTGTGAGGACACTCAAGAAAGACCCATAGTTGCGAGACAGCCATCACGTGAATTTGGGTTTAATAAAACCCATCAGGAAAATCTAGAGTGTTCTACAGGCTAGCCATGCTTGGTTGGGATGCTGTGCAGACCCAGAACTAATTGGCCCTGGACCCACCGGCCAAGACCTTCAAGAAACATAAACAAGTCGTGATGGAAATTGAGATTTCATGTCCCCCACTGCGTTCCCGACATTCTGGACGGCCCATCAACGGCCTCGCTGGAGGGGGACTATTTACTTACACCTTTGTTTACGCCCGCGTGCCTCTTTTAGCTTCTGTAAAGCTCTTGAGCATCTTGCCCATGCCTCGAGCAACCCTTGTATCTCTCCAGGTCACAGCCGTTGGCGACCTGCTCGGCCCAACAATCTCTGGACTGGAACGTTTGCTGCAGATTCCAACAGGTGCGTGGGCGAGGGCAAGAAAACGATTTTGCAAAAACAGGGAATTGGCCGGGATCGTTTTGCAGAGAATGTACTCAGATTTGTTCAAGTTTTGCTTAAGCTGTAACCACGCCTATCCGCACATGAATGTGGACCCTGACATCCACTCTGTCGCGGGCTCCGGCGAGCAAAGACAGCCCAACAAGTGACAGCCCAGCAGGTGAATCCAGCAGTTGAAGTTCATCACGTTGCCTGCAACACGCAAGAAGTGTGATACCTTTCCGCAACTCCCAGTAGGCGCAGATCACCACCTGGAAGTTGTCCAAGTATTCGCAGTTCGGGTATCCAGGAATTGCCTACTAGAGTCTGCATTTGCGTTCCGCAGGCTGTGGTGAGCAGAACATGATCACACTTGCGCCGAATGTCTACGTGGCTAAGTATCTCTTGGCCACTGCCAAGATGCCTCCTTTGCCTGTTTCCTCTACTGGGTCCTAGCGGAAAAGCCTAATACTAAATGGAGGTGGCCTTCATACTCTGTACAGAAAGGTCCCGATATTTAGTTCGGGACCCACTGCAGAAATACTAGGACCATAAGCAGCGTTTGTTATTCCTGGGAGGTAGAGGGTTGGAAATGCGATTGCAGAAGAGCTTCGTACCTGTCAAGGTAGCCATTCAGAGAGGCTGCGACCTGCTGTGTGCATACAAGGAGCTGATTTCTTGTTCCTGCCTCCTTGCAGAGATAATTTGATGATCATTGAGAATTGAGAACTGGCGGGCTGGGCATTTCAGCCGACGGCGGTGAGTCGTCCCGCAGTCGGAACCTCGCCAGACTCAGACCCAGGGGACAAGAGTCATTGGGGCATAAGGGAACTCCAGCTACCATGCGATGTGTTGCATAGAGCTTAGCTAGGCGCATGCCAGCTTTTTCGGATAGGTTTTGAGCTTGTGCAACTCCGGCGTCGTGCAAAGGGGTGCTAGGGGCTCTTCGGAGGAAGCCCTTCAGGATCCCCAAAGCGTTAGTAGACCCTTGGCTTTGACAGCTGTGTCAATTAATGAATTTTGTGCCGCTTGTATGATTCCTGGCTCCTGCAAACCTGGAGAGTACTCCTTGCAGATCCCTTTGTCTCATAGTCATAGCCTCCTTTACGCTATACGCCCCGGGAGCTTTGGGGGGGAGGAAGCCATCAATCTCGACCCTAAATCTCAAAGAGCTTTTTGTAGAGCTCATGCTGCGCATTGGCTGAGATCAAGTTTGTGCACAATGTCAGATATCCGAGACAGGTAGAACTTCAAAGCCCTGTAAACCCCGAGCTTCCCACTGCCCCGCAACCCAAACCCTTGAATCCTCTCCGCGGTCCCTTGGCTTTGGTGCCAGGAAGCCAGATTTGCGCCAGAGAGTGGTCAACAACATGGTGGTAGGCCTGGGGTTTACGGTTTCGCTTTTAGGTGGGGTTCAGAGTTTAGGTTCAGGGTTTTGAGTTTTGGGTAGCGTGAGAGTTTCGGGGGAAAGGGATAGGGAAGGTAAGCGCACCTCTTCTGCACTCCTTCGCTGTGCAATACGCAAGTCGCCATGAACCCTTCAGGGGTTTGGAGCAGTTGATTTTTCGAGTGAGGGACCAGTAAGTTTGGGTGCTGGAGTCCTGGAGAACGATGGGGAGGCTGCTGCGCTGGTTTTGTGCCCCTTACCAGATATGATGTGCCCAACTTACCTGCGTCATGTTGCATGTCAGTACTGGGAGAGCGAGGCTACTTCGAGGAGTCAAACTTATCCTGTTTGCAGGTGTACTGCGCGCCTTCAACGCAAGCTGCCTTATCCTCGTTATTTTGCATGGGAGCGGGTCCCATTTCGTGTGCCCCCTAGATGTGTGCCCTAAGAAGGACGAGTACCCCAAAACGGACTTGTCAAGAACAATCCATTCACAAATCGCAGGGTACGGGCGACAGCTGACCTACCGGCATGACGACGGCTCCTTCTCTGCCTTCGGGAAGCTGGGTTCTCAGTTGGAGTCACAACATGCGGCTGCTGCATCGGCAACACTACTGATTGTCGGGATGTATGCCTGAGGATGCATTGTGTTTGTTTACCACATTTCGGCCTTGCATTCTTCCGCCTTTTTAAAGAAGGCAGTCAGTTGCTAAGTCCAATAAGCGACAAACAAGCTTTCGCAAAACCTCCAACCTACTTCCCCATGAGTCCATCATATCAGGGGCGACGACAGTGGATCCACCTGGCTCACGGCCTTTGTCTTGCGCGTTTTCGCGGAGGCGGCCGCTCGGAGTTGCATCCTCAATTCCTGATAGAAACTGGTGTACCTGACGAAGCCTGTGTCAGGGTGTCCCCCATCCAGCCCCGCGGCTAAAACGGATGACATAAGGCTCCAAGCCAGGTAGCAGGCCTTTCTGAAGCGAAAAGGTTTGCTCAATCATGTGCTTTATACATCAATGCATCAGGATAGGGTCTGATACCGCGTAGCAAAAGTCTACTTCCCCACCTTGCTTTTTGACGTGCCATGGATAAGCTCAGTTGTAAATCACTGGGAACCCACCCAATGCTGCACCCAAAGGTTTAAGCCTGTATACCTTCATCCTAGATCCCTTAGTCCCATGACCCTGTTCTTTATTTAAGGGGTGGAACGGGCTTGGTCATCAACGGTAACCTGTAGAAGCATTGCGACAACTCTGCGGTCATACATCTCCCGGTGTTTTCTTTCTCGTTGAGCTTCCACGGCCCTCCAGGTCGACAGTAACCATTGAAAAGCAACTCTTCTACATTCATTGGTTGTTTGTAGGACATAAGGGAATATGATCCCCATCTGATATATTCCCATATTTCCTCCTAACCAGTAAGTAAAGATGGGGGGATCCCCATCTCTAAGTCCTGGTGCTTCGCAGGTTCACGGGACCGGCCTAGTGGCTGTGGACTCCAGCAGCCCTGCTGCACGTCCTATGCACGTCTGAATTCCGCAGGGCATAGCGGGTCCCCTTTCTGGTCTCCTTGAAATCAAGTTCACAAAAAGTGATTAGTTTAGAGATTTCAGCCTCTTGCAGGGTCCCCTTCGGGAGACAATTATGATTCCTTTCTGGGTACCCTTTCCATTCCCTAGACTCCCGTATGCCTAAACCCAAGCTTCATAAATGAAGCCGTCGTTTGATGAGGTGTGTTGGCACAGGCCGCGGCTTTCTTGGTGAGCGTCCAGGAGGCCATGCGTTTTGGAAGCTTGGGGCACAGGAGTTTCTCAGCAATTCTATATCCTTGCTGTGGGCTCTGTTTTTCCAGTGGCTGCAGCTTTTGATTCCTTGCATTTAGAGCTTCACCATATTCAGATGCCTAGGTTGGAACGGTTTGTTGTGCTTCTGATCGCCGGCAAGTTGCGGCTCGTTTTGTTGTTGTCGTTAGATTTTCAGCCTGAAAATGCCAGGATAGGTATTTGCACTAAGTAGACTGCATCAGCCACGCGCCCTGCATGGCAGGCAGATGGCTCCTTCCGTAGCGTGGGAAAGGTGATCCACCAGGACAGAAGACGGAAGACTATACAAAGAAGCTGGCTTTGGAGAGCATGGACTGGAGCTGTCATGACTTAGTGCCCGCAAAATCCCAAGCCCTAATTCAGGTCCGTGAAGCCTTGGGATTAGCGGAATGCTGTCATGTGCTGCTATAGCATGTGGGAAAACTCGTGCTTCATGCTCTTGATTTTGCAATGTCATGAAATCATGCCCTTCAGTCATAATGCTTGTGCCAAAGCATGAAATCTACAAGCATTCCAATCCTCCAATCCCCAACTCCTTTCAACCGTAGGTCCTTGAAGCCCAAAACCTGAAAACTACATGTTTAATGATGCCCCTATATCCTGAGGCAAGTCCCAGTTCTTATGAAAACCAAGCATCCTTAAGCCTATGATCTCACAGGAGATGATGGGCGGCACCAGTGGAAGCCCTGCCCTGTCCCTGACAGCCTTCGTGACCTCCTCGCTCTCACGGGTCAGCCCACGTTCCAGCAGTAGAGATGGCAAGGGGTCCTGATACAGATGTTCTCACGGTACGCACAACTTACTGGTGCTAAGGAGGAAAACATGGTAAGGGAATATATTCCCAGTATAAGCCAAATATGAAAAACAAGGGAACATATTCCCTGGCGGTTGGTAGGGAATATGGGAATACATTAAAATACATTATATTACAATGTACTCCCATATTCCCTACCAACCGCCAGGGAATATGTTCCCTTGTTTTCGACTCACTACCAGTAAGACAAGGAATTGGCTACAATATACCTGAACTTGAGTATGTAGGGATTCTTTGTGCACTTAGATCTGGGTATTTCTTCTCAGCATCAGGTCCCCTTCGCACTCTAAACGTAATGCGACCCTGACTATTATCAGGGGGAGCCTCCGAGCCCCAATGTGTGCGGAAATCCCCTAGTTACACCCGGCCTGCAAGTAGCCTGAGAATCCCCAAACCTTAAGCTTCAGATTTCAAAAATCCCTGAACCATGTTGAGCCCCAAAGCCCATGTGCTGGCCAGGCCGTGAAGGAGGTTCCCACCCTCTCAGTTTCAGGACTTTCTGCTGCTCTGACGTCCGCTGCGGCGTGGCTTGTCCCTGACCACGGGGGTGTTGGGAGGGTTTCAAGATTACACGTAGATAGCGAGACCCAGATTTTCAGAAATGCGAGGGATGGGGAGGTAGTTGTGCATTACATGGTTTAGCGGGTTTGACTGAGTAATAGAGGATAGTAAGGCTTCTGAAGCACAGAGGCTCTTGCTGGCGTCTTTCTACTGAGGGAATGTTTTGCTTGGGGATACATCGGACAACTCTGCCACCCGAAATGCTCGCAGATGCATGAACATACATGCTGCCCTGTTTAAAGCTCCTTCTCCCAACCCGTGTTCTGACACATCGTCGCAGGGGCGTGCAATCCCCTAACGTATTGAGTCAAAGAGCACGTATGACAGGCAGGGTTCCAGCATGCTGCGTGTGGATCAATGAACCCACAGCTGGAAACTTTCATCAGTCAAATACGAGAGTTACTCCACAGGAGCCATGTGCAATCCCCAACAGGGACACTGCACGCTGGTGATGTCTACGCCTCATGTATCCCTACAAGTACCGAAAAGAACGGTGTTGTGGAGACACACCAAATCCTAGACCCCAAGCTTACCCTTGTCAGACATCATTAACGTTGAACTTCTGACGTCCCTTGGAGGATTTGAACCTAGTGAATTGTTCCGTTCTGGACAGGTATTTGTCCTCGGCATCGAATCCTACAAACTATGCTGCTGCCAAGCTGCAATGTTCGCAATCTGAGAGATGCCTGAAGACACACTTCCACATCAATCTTCAACCCTAATCCTCAGCTTGGGAGATTTGTAGGAAGATTTCGCAAGTCATCTTGCTCTTGGAAAGGGGTATGGGGTGTTCCTTTGCAGATGCACCATCTGGTCTGGAAACCATGCAGAAGAAGCCACAACCAATGCAGCTAGCATAAACTTGAGAAGATTTAGAGAAAGAACTCTGAACCAAATTCGTGTGGGAAAGAGCTACTTCCGGGTACCCCCGTTGTTAAGGTCCTTCTTCGGGCGCAAGCGATGGGTTTGGCAGGACAGCCCTTGTATAGGGGTGCTGCATTAAATTTCATATTCCCAAACTTTGATCCGTGGAAAGGAACTCCGAAAACGAACGCCCATGCGCCTGGCCCAAAGCCCAAAGTATCCGAGATCCTGGGCTCTTACCTTTCAGCAGAACTTGTAAATAGCTGTGCTGCGCCCAGCTGGAAGTTGGACGTTCAGGAACTAACCAGAGTTTATGACATTCTGTCTGGCATTTACGCTCCAACAGTTAAGGCGTGCTGGGGCCACTCACCACTTGGGCACTGTTTTGAAATTACCACGTGAGTTCTTGCAGGACAGTGGACTTCCGACAAGACCGCTTCGGAGGCCTGGGTTTCTAGCAAGGTTCCGGTAGCATGTAGGGGTTTCCCAAAAGTAGGGGTACTTTATTGGGGGGGTTCCTAAAAAAGGATGATGCAATATGGGGGTCTATATTGGAGTCCACCCTATTTAGGCAAACTACCATGTAATCCATAGTTGCCTTTGGCACCCTAGGCTTTATGTCCTTATCGTAGAGAGAACCAAGCCATTGGAACCGTGAAAGTCCTGTGGTTATGACCTCGCTATAAGCCCCAAACCCAACTGAAACTTCAGTTTGCCAGCATGGGTAGTGGGATAAACCAGTTGCACCGTTTGAGAACACTATATCACCCATTCGACAGTCGCCCGTCAGAGGCAGAACACATTATGTTTGTTGAAGGCATATCTCGAGTGGATACAAAGCTTCCGCATGGTAAGCTTTGTGTTGTGCCGAATGTATCCACCGATTAGATCCCATGGGCATTGGAGGTGGGTCAAATGCTTCTGATTCTGCACCGCATTATTGGAGTAATATCCCCATGAATCCCCATGTAGCCCCTAGATACAACCCCAGTGTGAATCACATTTTCTTTCTATAATCCCTATATACCCGCACTCCACCGTGACTCTGGCAGTAGGCCCCGTGCTTTTGGCAGGTTCTTGCCATCTCCAGCACTGCGGATGGCAAGAGGTTCTGGGGCTTTTCGGCATGCAAGGGATGGATTCAGGGCCTCCGCCACAATTTGTCAGAAGACATGGTCATGTTGCTGGTTGTTGCTAGCACAAGCTGTAAAGCATAAGAGGTGGTTACTCGTAGCGTGCTGTATGGCTTTTGGCGTAGTGGGGGCTGTAGTCCATAATTCAGGCAAAAGGGATACTGATGTTGCTGTGAGGCTGCGGGTTTGAAACTAGATTACATTGTCCCATGCGCTTCTGTGACTGGTGTTCATTTCCGATCCAGACATCACTTACTAGTCCCCATACGCAGCCTGTTGCTCCATGAAGCTTTCAATGCTAAAGACTCACCCGATGGGTCGTTGTACAATGCTGCGAGC